ATTTAGGAGTTAAATCCCTTTGTTTATGAACCCTAGTCACACCTCCCTGCATGTGACTTGCACAGCCTTCCATAAACACTTCCTGTAAAGAGAGCCCTATTTAGGCTTTCTTTATTGCAAGTTCTGTTTAATTAAGATTTTCTTATCCCCTGCTATGTTAATAGCTTGCTAGACCCTGCAAGAGCCTCCTGTATGTGATTAAAGTTCAATTTAGAGATTGAGATACAATTATTTAAGGTAAATTACATCTGTTTGAAAGTGAAACCAGGTTTTTTTTTCATGCAGGCTCTGTCAATCATAGCCAGGGGAGGTGTGGCTAGGGCTGCATAAACAGAAACAAAGTGATTTAAGTCCTAAATGACAGTGAATTGAGCAGTGAAATTGCAGGGGAATGATCTATACACTAAAACAGCTTTATTCAGCTAAAGTAATTTAGGTGACTATGGTGTTCCTTTAAGCTGTTTTGGTGACTATAGTGTCCATTTAAACACGACATTCACTTTAATGAATAACTGACAGATTTCTTATCAAAATACAGTTAATACAACACCAGTGACCTATGAGTCAGTTAAGTGTGCGTCATCTCTCTGTACACAAAACAGACTTACCACATGATGTAGGGACATCCCATGACAGTTTTTTCAAAAGGCGTGGAAAAAAACATTGTACATATAATACGTTTGGAAGCTGAATGCAAATATAAGAGACAGGATTAGAAATTAGTGAAACTAATTTTGAAGTACAGATTTGGTGAGTTACAAGATAATGCTATTTTACATTGCATGCCAATGGTAAATAATATACATAAATGGGTTGCATTAAAATTATTCCTAGAATGCAGCTTGTAAAGATATATCTCTTATTTAACAATAACATCCATATCTTGAAGTGTGGTATGATCACTTTAAGTTGAAGAAGTATTATTTTGGGGAAGGCAAAATCTTTCATTAAGTGCCATTAATATACAATGCACAATTCGTTACCAAAACATAAAACTGTGTAGTTGACGCAAAGAATGAAAATATAAAATTGATCAGCAACTACATAGAACTCTTAATATTATGATAACAAACAATAAAAACTTGATATCACAATTTTATTATACCTTCCAAATGAATGTATTGTCAGGAAATGGGAGTGGGATATTAATTTTTCAAAGTGCTAATTTGCTGGCGTTTTTTTGTTGCATATTGAACATTTGCAGCAAGAGCATGCTTAGCATTAGGCAAACAGTGTATTTTCAATATTGAGTAACTTATGTTGCTGTTAAGTGCTTCTGCTAGTGAACTCGGACGGTGTGCGGTGATTGGCAGAGTTGCTGAGTATTTGCGTGTGGATAAGACTGATTTTTGCACTAACCATTCAACCTGTTCAGAAGGCTATGTTAGCATGGGTGTAGGTAGCAAAGTTGGTGGGGAGAGAGATGAACCAATCCCCCAAAAAATCTAGTTTGGGAATGAAAGGTGTAAGGCCCCCCCTTGTCATAATGGTGTAACTTTTGAAATCACATGTTTTACTGTTTAACAAAGATGAAAGAAAGAAAACATAGTTTAAAGGGTTGGTAATCGTCCCAAATTAGCTTTTAAAACAACTATATTTTAGCAAGGAAATGCAACAATATAATCACAGATAAATATTGAACAGATCAATTCATCTGGACGCAGGTGAAAAGGCTATTGATTTGTTCTATACAATTCATTTGTTGTGCACAAGTTTAATATTTAACTTTCGGGGGAGATAGCTTAACTTAATTGAGGATCGATACACTGCACGTCTTAATATACATAATCCTAAAAAATTGATTGACATGTTATATAGGGGTATTTAACACGTTTGTAGATTCAGATTTTGTAATTTACTACGGTGTGCCGACAAAACTAGCTGAGCTGTTCAACAAAGTGTGAGTGGTCTGTAATTCAAACCAGCTACCAAGCATTTTTCTAATTTTAGGCCACAATACCCACACTGGGGAAATACTAAAATTATATGTATATTTAGTTTCCATTGATGCTTTCAGTGGGGGTCTACAATTTATAATTCATTTAGAATTTACTTTGAATTTAAGACTACAGTGTCATCCTTAAAGAAGTCCACTTGCCCTAATCCTCACACTTTCGGTACCTACAGGTGTGAGAACTGAGAATGGTTGGCTCTCACTAAGACATCTTCTGTGCCACGGCCCAGTCATTACTCCTATACCTGCGGGATAACCCAAAGTGCAGTTATGCCAAAGAGGACTTTTTTTTTATTTTATCAACTCCTGCATAGTCACATTGAAACAGGAACTGGTGAAACAGGAACAGGAGATGTGATGTGCCTGTGGTATGTGTTTGTCTGTGTATGTATGTTACTGTATGATTGTATGCGTATTAGTTTGTCTGCGTATGTGTATTTAAGTCTCTTTGATTGCATGTTAGAGTGTGTGTGTATGCGTGTTACTGTAGGTCTGGATTAATGTGAGTCTATGATTGTATCTTAAAACAAAATAAAACAAATAGTATGGTGAGAGCAAGATACATACACCAAGTGTAAACAGTGAAAGATATATGAAACATGCAGTTTTACCATATATCTGTGGACTTGCTAAACATATGTCCTAAAAATATATAAAATACAGAACATAGCATAGCCTGTATGTAATAAATGAACAGAAGTACCGTAAATAACAGCTGAAAAACCCCAACTCGACTTATACTCGAGTCAATGTCTATATTATGGCAACTTACATTGCCATAATACAGACCAGGACCACCGGGCTCATTACAAGCCCGGCGGTCCTGTTGGGGGCTGGCAGAGAGCTTTTACTTACCTTCACAGCAGCTCCTGTCAGCTCCCTTCTCTCTCCTCGGTCAGCTCCCGTCTCCTCCAGTGTAAGTCTCGTGAGAGCCGCAGGCCCAGAGCGTTGCCACGGGTTACCATGGCAGCGCTCCGCGCGTCCGCGAGACATACACTGGAGGAGATGGGAGCTGACCGAGGAGAGAGAAGGGAGCTGACAGGAGCTGCTGTGAAGGTAAGTAACAGCTCTCTGCTAGCCCCCCTCCTACACAGCACATGCCACTAGACCACCAGGAAATGAGAGCCCCCTCCCTGGCCAGCTAACAAGCAGGGAGGGGGGACGAAAAAATAAATAAAAATGTAAATAATACAAAAATAAAATAATAATATAAAAAATATATATTAATAATATAACAAAATTTTTTATATTAAAATAATAATATTAAAAAAATAATAAAAATGCCCACCCCCCACCAAGGCTCTGCATCACACACACACTGCACTCATACACACACACACTGCATTCATACACACACACTGCACTCATACCCACACACACTGCACTCATACACTGCACTCATACACACACAGACTGCATTCATACACACACGCTGCACTCATACACACACTGCACTCATACACACACTGCATTCATACACACACACACACACACTGCATTCATACACACACACACACACACACTGCATTCATTATATACTCACACACACACACTGCATTCATTATATACACACACTGTAAATAAATATTCAATTAATATAATTTTTGGGGATATAATTTTATTTAGAAATTTACCAGTAGCTGCTGCATTTCCCACCCTAGTCCTATACTCGAGTCAATAAGTTTTCCCAGTTTTTTGGGGTAAAATTAGGGGTCTCGACTTATACTCGGGTCGTCTTATACTCGAGTATATACGGTAGATATAAAATCTCCCACTCACATGGTGCTGAGCCGTAAGGAGTGGCTCAGATTACAAGCGCCTTTTCAATAATCTGGAGACCACAATGCTGGAACACAAATCAGGATGTTCACTGGAAAATTTCCCCTTGTATAAATTGGATTAACACCAGGTGGAAAATAAATACAGGAACAGAATCTTTATTTGCATAAATAACAGCATAACAACGGAATCTCCCAAATACAATTGCACTAACGCGTTTCAACCGCTATGGTCTTTATCAGAGTGCTGAATGTCATAAACAACTAGACATTTAAATATCTTCAAAAAAAGGCGCGCTAAAAATGTCTTCGTCGGTTCACTTCCGGTTTCCGTTTTTTCCACTGTGATTTATATGTATGATTGCATCTTAGTTTGTGTCTATCTATGCATGTCAGTGTGTGTTTATGTATGTGTGCTAGCAAGTGTCAGTGTATATCTGTGTATGTGTGACTGTGTGTATGTATTAGTGTGTATCTATATATGTATGTCACTATATGTATTCATGTTAGACTGTGTCTGTATATGCAGGCTTGTGTGTGTAAAGATGTTGCTTATTATATTTGGGGGGGTGTGTGCAAGAGGGCAGTTATGTTTATGTGTATGTGCATGCGGCTAATTTTATCATAGTGAATGGATTACTCTTTGTATGTATATGTTCAGTTAAAAGTGTCTCGTTAGGTATATGTGTGTAATTGTGTATGTGATGGTGAGGGGGCTGCAAAGTTTTCTCTCCCAGGGCCCTGTGCATGGTAAGTGTGGTTCTTTCTGGACAATTCAGTCTTAAATGAATAGCCCTGGCTGTTTTTAAACATGAATATTAAATGTATTATGTGATTTAGAGGTTAATAGAGTTTTTATTTGATACAGTCTCTCTCTCCTTTCCTGTGTTTCTAAATCTGATTCAGTCTTTTTACATATATAATATATATGTCATTGATTGTTTTTAATTCTTTCTTTTTTTCCCCCAAGACTCGTCATCATCATGTGGAATCAACGCCACAGTAAGTAACATTTTAAATACCTATAGACAGTTTTCCAGGAATTGGGCTGCAGAAAGTGACTTATCTTCTACATCGCAGAGACATGACACCACAGGGGCATGATCTATAAGCCAAAAACACTTCATGAAGTCAAAGTTGTTTTGGTTCTTAGAATGCCTCATTAATAAGCCACATAAATGGTACACATCCTTTTTCTTATGATTTTTTTTCAGACCCTCCTCATGGACCACACCCACATGTACAGCCAGGTTATCCAATGAGTGGACATGTTCCTCATTGCCCACCTGTGCACCATGGTCCACTTGGACACCACCATTCTCATGGCCACCATCATCCTCATGGTCACCTTCATCCACATGGCCACCATCATCATCATGGTCACCTTCATCCACATGGCCACCTTCATCCTCATGGCCACCTTCATCCTCATGGCCACCATCATCATCATGGCCACCATCATCATCATGGCCACCATCATCCTCATGGTCACCACGGCCACCATGGGCATCATCTTTAATAACCTTGAGAAAAGGTAAGTATGACTCCTTTTCTATAACTAACATACACTAGAATATTACAAACTATGCAACAATGTGCAATGTCAATCAGCAGTGGCCAAGGCCAGTAAGGTATTGTCATGCATGAAAAAGGGCATTCATTCTCGGGACAAGAATATAATTTTGCCTCTTTATAAATCACTGGTAAGACCCCATATTGAATATGCTGTGCAATTTTGGGCACCTGTTCTAAAGAAGGATATTATGGCACTAGAAAAAGTGCAGAGGCGGGCTACAAAATTAATAAAAGGAATGGAACATATCGGCTATGAAGAAAGGTTAACAAATTTAAACCTATTTAGTTTAGAAAAACGTCGCCTGAGAGGGGATATGATAACATTATACAAATATATTCGGGGCCAATACAAACCATTGTGTGGAAATCTATTCACAAACCGGACTTTACATAGGACACGAGGCCATGAGTTTAGACTGGAAGAAAGAAGATTTCGTCTAAGGCAAAGGAAAGGTTTTTTTACTGTAAGAACAATCAGAATGTGGAATTCTCTGCCTGAGGAAGTGGTTTTATCAGAGTCCATACAGATGTTCAAACGGCTACTAGATGCATACTTGCAAGAACAGAATATTCAAGGATATAATCTTTCAATGTAGGGTAATAACTGCTTGATCCAAGGATAAATCTGACTGCCATTCTGGGGTCAAGAAGGAATTTTTTTCCTAGTTTGTTGCAATATTGTGCTTCAAACTGGGTTTTTTTGCCTTCTTTTGGATCAACAGCAAAAACCAAATGTGAGGTAGGCTGAACTTGATGGACGCAAGTCTCTTTTCAGCTATGTAACTATGTAACTATGTAACTATGTAATAATATAATATTTAATATAAGGAATATAATATATAAACACAATGCTTAACTTATTTAAATAATCCAATTTCCCAAGTATATTTGGAGTCTCTTTTCTATCCCATGGGCAAGAGTTAGCCACAGATATCACATTGTGTGATATTTACATTAAAATGTAAAGGTTAAATGGTTAAATGGTTATTTGGGATAGTGCAAGTAACCTTAGATGATACTACCGAGCAGAGATCAAACTCTAATCAGGAGTACAAGAGAAGGGCTAAAGGGGTAGCAGAAAGGGCTTAACCTTATATGACATATACAAAAAAAAAAAAAAGATAGTAGGGGGAATATCTCCCGTATACACGAGACAATCCTCCTACCCAAGCTACCCCGAAAAAATACCTATGTAGGCTAGAAAATGACACAGTGATATAATGTCTGAAAAAATCTTTAATTACAAAAATTCACATTCCCTACATACCAAGTGTGGCTAAAAACAAATACCAAACATAGAGAAAAAAGAAGAAAAATAAAAATAATACACTAATATCAGCTCACATTCACTGCTAGATAGATCTGTAACAAAAAGAGTAATTGAGTAGCAAACTCAGATGTTACATAGACATAATAAGTAGAGACAATGTAACAAATGTCTATTAGGAAGATCAATGGTCTGCAGGAATGAGTATAAAGAGCCAGAAAAATGTGTATAAAGCTGTGACCCAATATAGTATCAGGTAATGAGGCACAAAGACAAACTTTCCCCTATATGTACAACTATTAAGTAATCCTAAATGCGCATACAATGAAAGAGATAAGAAATCGAAAGGATAGCAAGATGAGCATTAAAGGAGAAAATATATAGGTGGAAATAGAGATAAAGGGGAAGAGGGGGTCAAGCTGGGGTTCCCTATACTGGAAACGGAAGGGAACATGAGGAAAGGGGGGAAGGGAGGGCTAAAAACAGTGAGCGGCCATAGTACTGAGGGGGGAGGGGGGAACTATGATAGCCATGGTGGCCATCTTGGAAGTGGGAAAAACGCAGAAATATTAGCTATAGGAGAAAAAAGGAAAAAAGGGGATTGGACATACATAATGAAATAATAACGAGCACAAGTACATATACATATAAGGAGAACATAATAGCATCATGGCATCACTAGCAGTATAAAATAGATAAAAAGTACTTATTATAAAGGCACTTATAACATAAAATGGGTATAACCAAAGATCTAGGGTGAACTGGAGTAAGGTAAAAATACATCATAGACAAGTTAAAAAACAAAACAAAGGAGAACTAAGAGGGAAATACAAAAAACAGAAATACATTATAAAAATTTTCAAAATCTGCATTTAGACCACAAGGATCTAGGGTTTGCAGATTGAACACCAACTCTATTTTTGATCTACCTAAAATAATTTTTATATTACCACCTCTCCAGGGAGTATTGCATTTCTTAATTCCAATGCATTTCAAAAGTTTGAGGTCTTTATTGTGAGTGATAAAATGTGTGGACACTGAATGGTTTGGATATCCTTTAATGATGTTCCTACAATGCTACCCTAATCTTGTTTTCAGACATCTTGTGGTCATACTTACATATTGGAGGCCACAAGGGCATTCCAGTAAATAGATCACATTTTTAGTATCGCTACCAATAAAGTCTTTAATAATATAAGTTCTATTGGTTCTGTTAGATTTAAAATGATTAACTTTAGATTGTGTAGAGGAGTCGGTGCTTTTACGGACTTTGCACAGTTTGCACTTGTAAAATCCTTAGGCCCCGTCTAAGAATGAGAGTGTAGGTTTTAAGTTTGACTTGCATTCTCTAGTATATTTGGTGGTTAAAATATATCTAAAATTAGGGGCTCCTCTAAAAATAATATTAGGTTTCGTAGGTAAAATATCTTTAAGAAGGTCATCTTGTTTGAAATGGTGCCAGTGTTTTTTCATTATCCTTTTTATGTGACTAATTTATTGTTATAATTAAAAATAATAGGAAGAGTCAGGGAGTTTGAGGTGTGTCTATCTTTATAAGTTAAAAGTCTTTCTCTTTCTTTTTTTTTTGTAATGTCTATAGTGTTATTCAAGTTTGTAGGTGAATATTTTTTTTTCAATAAATTTACTCACTGTTTTTAGCCCTCCATTGCCCCTCCCATTGCATATGCCATAAGTGGGGATTAAACTGCTGTATGCCCTTCATGCTAGAGCTGGTTATAGCTCTTTGGAATGTGAGTTTATTAAGTATCTTCTTTTAGTGACTCCTTCAGATTGTACATATCGCACTATTATCATCCACTTTTATCTTTCATATGAGTGGAACGTTTGGACTATTAGTCATTGAGGACATAACATCCCAACAAGCTCCAATAAAGACATTTACTAAAGTGATATCCTCTTAGTTGGACAATGTTTTGGACCTTGTCTATACTCTGGAGAGTCTTATATCTCTTTTTACTGTACGTGTGTACAGGCTTTACTCCTCCTCTGCTGTTGTATAGGTTATTGTATTTTTTATTGGTTTTATCATATCTGGCACAGCCCTTTCTCTCTTTTGTACTGTATGTTCCTTATCTAAAAGGTTAGAGAGTTCCACTTTGTTGGGCCGTAGCATGTCTTATCTATCTATTATTAGCGCTGACCCTTTTGCACCTTTTAGTTTTGAATAATAGTGGGCATTTTATGTGCTTTTTTTTTGGATGGCTGCCATTTATATGCCTGCCATTTGGAATTTGTAGATTTATTTATGAACTGTTTCTGTAGTGTTAGTGCTTGTACAGAGTGTTAGTGCTTGTACGGAGCAGATTCCATTATTATGTGTATAGGGGATGTTGTGTGGGTATGGGAGGTACTGTGTGTGCTTGTGTGTAGGGGAGGGAGTATGTTTTTGATGGGGATGCAGTGTGTGTAAGTAATATATTGTGTGTGCTGATGATGTAGTTTGTGTTGGGGGTGTAGAATGAGATACGGGGATGCAGTGTGTGTAGGGAATTTATTGCGTGTGTGTGCTGGTGATTCAGTTTGTCTAGGGGATGCAGTGTCTGTTTGTGTGCTTTTAGATGCAGTGTGTGTGTATGCTGGGGATGTAGTTTGTATGTGTGTTTGCGCAATATATGCAGTATGTGGGTGTTTGTGCTTGAGTGAAGTGTGTCTATGTGCGTGCTAGAGAACCAGTGTGCCTGTGTGTGCTGGGGATGCAGTGTGTCTGTGTGTGTGCTGGGGATGAAGTGTAATGTGTGTCTGCTGGGGATGAAGTTTGTATGTTTGTGTGCTGGGGATGCAGTGTGCGTCTGTGTGTATGCTGGGGATGAAGTGTGTACCTGTGCGTGTGCTAGGTATGCAGTGTGTCTGTCTGTGTGCTGGGTATGCGGAGTATCTGATTGTGTGCTAGAGATGCAATGTGTGTCTGTTTGTATGCTTGGGATGAAATGTGTGTATGTGTGCTGGATTGATGTGTGTGTCTCTGTGTGTGCTCGGGATGCAGTGTGTCTGTGTGTTTGCTGGCAATGAAGTGTGTGTCTGTTTGTGTGCTCGGTAAGCAGTGTATATATGTGTGCGCTAAGGATGAAGACCAATAAAGTTCTGCCATGCTTGGCAAGTAATTTCAGAGCAAAATATGTACATAATATTGAGTCCTCAGCCAACCCTAGGACTTAGGACTGTAGCCCCAGTCAGCTTTACCCTCCCGCCGAACCCAATTTTTAGGATTTTGGGTGGCCTGGGGGACAAATGCTCCCCCGACCCAGCACAACCCGGTGGTGGGGCTGATCGGGTAAGATGAGGTCTTTCCCCAATTGTCATGGGCCGGTTCCGGCTCAAAAATTTTATTTGGGGTCGAACGACCATTCTTCGTAGAAAAATGTAAGAAGTGTTTCAGAGGCTTTAAAGAACAAAATGTGTTATTGTAAGTACTGTTTTACTGTAAGTGATCTTGAATCTTGTTGAACTATTCATACTGCAAGACCCAGTACCTCCACCCCAGATTGAGAATACAAAGATTTTATGGTAAGGATAAAATAATCAAAAATTGGTGTTTTCCTATTATGTTCATTGATAGTGTGGTGATTTGTAGTGTCTTGCAATGGATGCTTGAAGTTGCAGAGTTTAATCTAACAACTAGAATTTGAACATGCTTGTGAGCCAAATGGGGATGGTTATACTTCCTCTCTGTGTGTACAAGAACTTGCACTGGATATGCATACAACTCTACACCTACTCTTCACCTACTTCACCCTATGCTATGTGATGAACGGTACTCACACCATGTGCTATACTACAATAAAGTCCCTGCTGGTTATGGTTTTATGAGATTTGCTCAGCTACCAATAAAAATAGTAGGGGCATCAGGATTGGCAGAGCATCATGCTGGTCTTGGCAAAATTCAATGTAGAATTTGCTTCAGAGTTTACAGAGAGTATAGGGACTTTGAAGATGAGTTTCTTTTTATTTGACATTTTCATTATGGTTTTGTATATTTTTATTACATTGTCAGTAAGGCTCTGTCCAACCTGGAGTATCTCTTCTAACATGATCTGTTACAGTTTTCTAAATATTTATCTCTATATTTAAATTTCTGATGCTCAAGTCTACATGGTGAATGAAGCGTCGGACTAAAAGTAATATGGGGGAGGGAAGAGGCTAAGTGTATATGTGTGTGATAGGTGAGTGTTACCTGTGAGGTGTCTGAATATTGTGTGTGGAATGGAGTATGAGTGTGTTGGGGGAGGAGGTTAAGTGCATATGACGAATTGTCCCCCTCACAAACTAATCTACATTTTTCTATATGGCCCCCTCTTGCTTACCTTGTGGTGGGGGGTGTTATCTCTTGTGGTCCAGTGGAGGAGCTTTGTGGTCTGAATGTTTATCGTGACTATAATTCCCACTAGCTGCGGTGCTCTGAGTCATTAATAAGTTCAGTGATCTCTCAATGACCTTTTAGCCCTATGCCACCTAAAAGGTAATATCCTAGCTCTTAGTATATGCTCTGTTACCAATAAAATAATAGAACCATGAAGACTGGCAGAACCCTGTTCTGGTCTTTGAAAGGCTCACAATACAAGCTGCAACACGTAGAAGGATTGCAGAAAATATAAGCGAGTTCACTGAGAGACCACGCAAAACCAAGAAATTATCCTGATGACAATGGGAGTATCAGGATCTATTAAGAAAGTAAAGTCATATCATGTAGCCATTACTAGATTCTGGGGGTAGGGGGCTTTGACAGGTAAGTATTTTTTAAATTGTATTTTATTAGTATTAGCTCTATTATACATTGTACATTAAACAAAGGTAGTCTACTACTGACTGTTTGGTTAAATGTACATTAAAAAGAAATAGCTAAAATTGTATTGGTTATATTAATATGCAAAATTAACTAAAATTGTTGGATGTTTACCTGAGGCACTGGAATTGGACAGTCCTGAATGTAATTATATTTAATTGTTCCTATGTATAGGAAATCATTTAATCTCTCTTAATACTAATTTCTCTTATTTTCCCCTTTAGCAACAGCAGCCTAGGCATGGATGCAGCTCACATTGATTACTAAAAGAAAGAAAATGCCAGATATCATCTCCAACCTTTACTACATAATTAAATTTCTCTTCCTCATTTAATCCCTTTTTTTATTAATAATCTGTATAACAAAGAAAGAAGTCACACAACAATAAAGACAAAATGTGCATGTGGCCATATTTGTTTATGAGCTTCCTTGTATATACATATATATGTCTATAATCCACAACAGGTACAAATATGAATAAATGAATTATTACATATACATTTCATACACATATAATAGATTGTTATAATTGTTCTGTTTCTTTTTGTAAAATATATATATATATATATAAACAGAAATAAAGAGATGCACTCTCAGGACTTAATGAATGAAAAAAGGGGATAATTTATTCCATTAGGTATAACATCAAAAATAGCCGACGTTTTGACCCATTCGGGTCTTTCTCAAGGTCAATGTACCTAGCTATAAAAGTTGTATATATAAGAAATAAGAAAATGTACTCACCAATCGTGAAAAAAACCCTGAATCGCTTCGTGCATACCCGGTAGTGAAACCGGAAGTGAAAACCCGCGATCACGTGACATACGTGCGATGACGTAGTGTTGCTAGGATACCGATAAGCAAACATAATTATACGATCGGTATAATAATCTCCAGTGTATATACCAAGTATGCAAGTGAAATGCATGAAATCTTTTCATAGAGTGTATATATGCTATCATGAAAGTGCACAGTGCATAAAACAGCGAAAGATGTGACAAATAAATTCAAACCAAAAATAAACAAAATCGTGAACATTCACATACCATATCTAGATTGTGGGCATTACTTAAAATATCCTAACCAATTTAAATAGGAGAGTCAACGCTATTAAGGCAAAAGCTCAGAACGCAGAAAAGGACCATGGGCATGCAAATAAAGAGGATCGCATCATGAGACAAAAACAGCAAATCATATAAATGCCACAAAGGCAATGTCTCTAAACAGAGGATATTCTGTGTACAAAAGATCTATTAGGTCATCGGTCTCAGAAGCTCACAATATTAAGACTAAAACAATCAAAAAAACATATTAAACTTGAAAAGGAAAAAAGTAAAACAATTATATAACCATTATTTAAAAAAAATTATAAAAATATATATATGGTAGAGAGCCACATACGGATAGGCTCAAATCACTCCAGCATAGGTATATAAGGTAAAAACCAAAACCTTCTTGCCGTATCCAGTCAATAATCTCACCAAAATGAAAGAGACAAAAAAATAATCTTTTTGTGTAGTATTATCAAAGAATGTTACTGCAGATGTATGAATACAGTGCAATACTTGCTCACCTTATAGGGAGCCAGCTATACTCGGCTCTTAGTGTTGAGATGGATGTGCTGTTGAGGGGTGCACAACCCCACTTGAATGCAGGAAACAGCAAAGGACTAGTGGATCTAGGTACACTATAAAAGCACTTTATTAAACAATAAACATTCAAAATAATAAAATCATAAAATATGCGGTACTACCAGTCCACTATATAGTTCACTTCCGATACGCGTTTCACCTGTGCGGTTTTATCAATGGGGATGCTCGTGTGATGGAACACTGGCACTCCGACCGAGTACCTCCGTCAATCGATGCTCCTAGCGCTTGCCGAAGACTCCGAGCACTCCAACCGACACCATCAGCACTGCAGACCCCACTTCCAGCGATGCAGCTGCGCCGGGTCTCGCCGTCTCTCAGCCACCCTGGATCCAAGGCCAGGATCCAGCTTCCAGTGGGTGAACCTCTCCTAAATCCAGAGAGCAGGAACCAGGAACAAAACAAGCTCTTGCAAGAGCTGACTCTGGGGAGTATGTGATTATAGCAATCCCCAGAGTGTAGTTATCCCATCCCCCAAGCATGAGCCAAGTCTTCAAGAAAGGTTCTAGTAGGTCTGGTTTATTGAGGGCTACCTGCCTGGTATTTATGCAAGTGTCCACCAGGTGGACACTCCCCTAGGGGACCTGATGGAACAATGGGACACATATTGGATATTAGCCAATCAAAGACAATACAAACAAAACACTCCCACAGTGACATCACAATCCCTCCTCTCTATTCTGGAGATAATTGGGAAGTAATCAAATTATCTCCCAGGACAGAGGCAAGACTCCATTAACCACATGGTTACAAAAAGACATAAAATTACACAATGTTACAATTACTACATAAAACATATACATGCAACATATCCCCAGATAGCTTAGATCTGAGTGCACATTATTATTAAATGGCGCTCAGATCACATACATACAATTCAATCGCCATGGAGCCAAAGTCTTTTCCATAGTCGTTCGTTACACGAATTGGCTCCATGGCATAGCTATCTGGGGTAGCACTACTCACATACTGAAAGTCCAGAATGCCCCGGCAGAAATACACAAATAAACCTTTCTGCAGGGTAAAATACAGCTATCAGCACATGTGCCATAGTCGGAAGGCAGGAGGCTAGCCAGTAGTCCCCTCCAGGCACAAGTGGTGAAGGGCACTTCGTCACAGCTCGTTTCCTGTACAGGTCCAAAATATAAACCCAAAGGTCCTCCTCCGATTGGCTGATGCCATATTCCAAATGCCAATCGTCTTCCTGGGTTATTGAGGTGTGTAATTCTCAGCTGAATCCACTATAGTGTTCAGTTCCGAAACCGGAAGTGATGCGACGGACCCTGGCGTGACGTCACTTCCGGTCCCATCTGTCTCCATGAGTCATTACTTACACTTCCATGATGTTTATGGGCAAATGCCAGTCTCATTAATAGATCACCAAGTCCCATATATATCAGATGATGCAAAGAAGAAATAAAAGAAATTATGTATTAGGAACCCTAAATCAGAGGTGGTGTATAAACTCATCCTTATATAAATCAATATAATTATATAAAACAAATCCATAAGGCATACATAGTACAACATCATATTTAAATGTCTCATAAAAAATCCATAAAAAATCCCCAATAAAACATAATAAAAAATATAATAAAAAATATAAAAAATAGTTATAAAAAGTGACAGAGCTCAAAGTCACTATTAAGACCATATGGTTGAAGGGTATTTAAATTAAAGATCCATTTCATTTCAGACTGGCCCATTTTTCTAGTAATGTCATCCCCTCTCCAATTAAAATTAACCTTTTGAATGCCTAAAAATTGCATAAAATTGGGATCACTATTATGTTTTAATTTAAAATGTAAGGACAGGCTGTGTTTAGTAAAACCATTTTTAATGTTGCAGACGTGTTCCTGAATACGAACCTTTAGTGGTCTTGTGGTACGTCCCACATATGATAATTTGCACGTACATGTTATCATATATATCACATGTTTTGTATGGCACGTAATGACCTCATTGATAGCAAAATTCTTATTGCTATCTGATGGATGTGTAAATTCCTTTATGTGTCTTCTTAAATTGTTGTGGATGAAAACTAGAGGCGGAAAGGAGGGTATTGAGATCAGTGTTTTTTTACGATACAGAGTAAATTCCAAATTGTTTCTCTTCTTATAGATAGTAACTTTAAAAAATTGAATTGACTTCTCATCAGTTTGATGACTCAAAACAACTGGTATAGGTGATTGATTTATCTCATTAATCATTTGCTCCAAATCCATAATGGTGCCTGTCCAAATCATAAAAAGATCATCCACAAAACGATAGTAATGTTGGATATAATGCCCAAATTTTGCCAAAATATGGGTATGTTCAAAAGTGTACATGAAGGCGTTGGCATACGATGGTGCCATCGCTGCCCCCATCGCAGTTCCGGACAGTTGCACATAGAACTGATTTTCAAATTTAAAATAATTGTATGTGAGTGCAATCGTCAAAAATTCCAACAGGTACTCAATCAGCGGTCCTTCATATGTTGTTGATTCAGTTAGGATATCTCTCAAAGCCTGTACACCCTACCCATGGGGTATAATGGTGTACAGGCTCTGAACATCCATCGTGACAAGCAGAGATGTAGAATCCACATATGGTGATTGTTGAATTCTAGACATAAAATCTTGTGTGTCGCGTAAATATATATATAGTTAAATTATTATAAACTTGCTTGATGCAGACTGTAAATTCGGGAAAAGGACTGTCAAATTCGAATGTTTCAGCCTTTTACTGTCTCGCTATTCTGTTATAATATAATTTGCCGATTGTCTTTTGTGATGTATATGCTATAGCAAAGCTATAGCAAAGTAAATGATCTTTTTTAATATTATTTATTTTAAACCCAGATGCAACACAAGTGAAACACTATACAAAATATGCAAAACGAGCAAGTTAGATGAATACACTATCTTACTATGGGTGACATTTATTTTACAAAAATTTGCATAACATTGGAAAAACAGAAAAGGAAGAGAAGAAAGAAGGGAGAAAAGAAAACTTAAAAGATTGGAGCCATCTTGTGCAGAGCTGCAGATTTAAGATGAGCAAGATAACCCAACTTCCTAACTTTATGTTTTTTTTTTTTAAATTTATTTCACTGCAAAGTCATTTAATATGATTTAATTTTAATACATGATAAATAAATGAAGCAACCTAATTTTTCTAACTTTTCTTTTAAATGTATATTATGGTTTTGGATGAAGTGACAACACAATCTGATTCAGTCTAGGCATAGTCAGGGCACACAATGCACATGAAGAGGATAACATAAGCATTGTTTCTTTTCCACTTACTGTGTTCAATGGCCATTCAATAAGATATTAAGAAAAGGTAAGATGAGAAAGAAATATGTGGCACTGTACCTAGCTTTTACTTTAGAAGTTCCTGGCTTTGTTATGGAAGCCACTAAGTATTAATGTGGAGATTATTGCATTCAAACATACAGAAACGATAGGTGGTGAAGTAATGTTTTTTTTCCCCACTGATAACTTGTAAAGCGATTTGCTAAAGGAAGATGTGGTAACATGTCTTTCTTTCATGGTAATTTGTCTTCCTTTCAAGATCTCCCTAAACAAAGAAACAGGCCTAGGTAGAAGGGCTGAGAATCTTTCCTTCCCTGCC